AAGACAAACGTCCATCCAGTTCAGTCATTAAAAAAAAAAAAAGTTATAATCCTACACCCACAGTTGATCCAGAGGAAGGCAAAAAACCCAGAAAAGCATTATCCAATTTTCTCCCATAGGGGAAAAAAACTCCTTCCCGATCCCCCGAGAGGCAATCGGATATTTCCTGGATCAACTTTACCTATAAATGCCAGTAACCAGTTATATTCTGTGGAAAGCATGTTTTTTTAACAATCTCACTCTTTTGTTGGCAATTCACACATTCAAGTGTTTTCCATAGGGATGCATAAATCTTTGCCATTCCTGGCAGACAATTGGCAAGTCTGTAGCCTCTGTCCATTGAACAGAGTACTTGCTCCAATTAAAAGTGACCACTACAGCTGATGATTGTACGTTCAAACGCTATAGGTGAATAAGTAAAGAAATAATTAGTTCCTAGATAAGAAAGTTTTTTTTTTTGTACAGCTCAAAGCAAGCAACAAGAACCAACACATTGCCAGAAAATGACATCTGAATGTAAGAAACAATTACATTGCTGTGGTTTACCAGTTGTTGTTGCACACGGCTTGATATGGGGTGGTGATGTCAGCCACAGCTAATAAATGAGTACTGTGTACAAAAAAAAAGATCCATACACGGCTATTTGTTTTGCAAAACTTAAAAAAATAAAACAAAAAAACTTCCAAAATAAAAAAAGAAAAACTTGTACTTGTTTTACAACATGCAGTTAAGTTTTGCTTGCTGTCAATTTAACAATTTTCTTCTACGAAAAAAACAAAAAAATTATGTAAGTCCATAGGAATTGTTGTAGAAACCTTCCATGCTGGATCTTTCTCTATTGGAGGGTAAGTCATTAAGAAAATGATCAACCGCCGAAAAAAGTAGAACAGCAGTACCTGTACCCTAAGAGGTATTTCTGTCTGCTACAACAAACTCTTAATGAGAAGTTTCAGCCAGTTGTAGATTCTCATTAAAATAAATTGGAGCAAACACATTTCAATTATTTAAAAAATATAATGGGTTCCTTAGAAACCATCTTATACACTTTTAGGTGTACAGGAAATTAATAAACACACAACAGGGGGTACAGACCAATTGACACATACGAGGGGTCTTCAGAAATTAACTTTTTTATATTTACAATAGAGTAAAAAAAGTGTGGAAACTTTATGAAGAACCTTCGTATAAGAAAGCATTTTGTAAGCTCCTGCTACTGTACAGGGTCACACAGTAGAACTAGAGCGCCATGTTTAGTCCTTCTGTAAAACTGGTGGTGGAAGATCATCTCGTGAGCAAGAATTTATGGGGGAACTGCAACAACGGGAGCAGCCGTTTTGTATACAATATATTGTGTATGCATTCTATGAGACGCAAAATAATTTTATGCCAAACAAGAATTCACAGGCACATTAGATACTCAAACAATTGTCAAAGTGGGTAGTTATTGATTATTGTGTCATCAAATAGTCTATGAAGGACCACAAGAATATTAACAGCTTTATCCAATTTTCACCACGAAGTCCACCAACACCGGTAATAGGGACTTTTGCGGGCCGCCCCAACATAGGTGTCTATTGCAGTTTGACAGTATTTGTTATGCATTTACGAGACCTAATAGCTATTGCACTGCCACAAATGAACTGTAATGAATATGGATCTCACACCAGGAATATCATTTAAGAATTAGGCAGGCAAAGCATTACAGGACCCTAGCATTTGGAAAATGGATGAATCCAACTGTGGTTTGTGAGATTACCTGAACCCGGTAGAGACTTTGATCATTAAAAATAAAATGTTGGCTATAGCAATCTGTACATCAGTGCTGTAATTTACTGGTTTGAAAAAAAAAGAAGAAAAAAAAATAAATTGGATAATAAAAAGAATAGGTCTATACCTGGGTCAAAATATATTTAAAAAAAAACACAAACCCAAATGGAATAAACATAAATCTATGCTTTTACAGATACAAAGGTTAAACAAAAAAAAACATAAAAATAAAACCTAAATGTTAAAAAATTAATCAAAAGAGGGTATACTTGATGAACCACATGAGGTTTTTTTTTCACTGCCAATTTCTATTTAGCTTCTTTTACAAAAAGTTTATTGAAATTTTCAAAGAAAAAAAGATGGCTTTCTATGTTTCTATGTGGGGAATGCTCAGAAACAAACTTGTTCCCATTTCTTTCTAAAAAGTTTAGAAAATGTTTGTTTGCTACTACAAGTCGGGACCAAAGAATGGAAGCATGGATCATCATCCCCTATTGATGACCTACATAAACAGTCCCTGTTGGACCACAGCAAGGCATGCTAAAATCGTCATTTTAGCTTGCTTGAATAATTACATCATCCCTATGGGCCAGAAACATCAAAACCCACCAACTCCTTAATCTCAATAATACTTTTCAAATATTGGAATACACCTCAACACTCTAAAAGGATTTTCAGGTGGGTGGTCTCTTAGAAAGACCATCAATACATGTTAAAAATCTCCTTCATTTTATAAATCTACAAAATCAAGGGGGTACAAAAACCCAATATTTAAAAATCCTTCACACATAGTATGAGAAATTTTACAGAATGTGAGCCCCATCAGATATATTTCTAAAGGATGATGTCTCTACCCCATATTGCCAATATGGCGCCAATCATATGGTCACTTAATATTGATGAATAATCCACAGATAGGAACCCAACGTGTTTTGCCGAAATGGGCTTCTTCAGGGAAAAAGGTGGTTATGTGTTCTGAATCCAAAGTCAGCCCACCTATACCAGCTGGGACTAAATTTGTAATAAAAATCATCCTGGCCATAGTAGCCTTAGTGGTCAGAGAAATATCATGATGGTTGCAATTAAATTGATTGAAAATTCCTGGGAGAGCATGTCATCATAAGCATCTCACATGGGTTATGATTTTCCACCCAAATTCCCCTTGACTTCTCATCTGTCTTAACTTCTATGCATATGTTGTGTGCTCCGAGAGGTGGAGGGTCCTTTTCTGTGGATTATTCAATATTAAATAGACAAATAATTGGCACCATATTGGCATTGGAAGTTATGGGAGGGTTGACTTTGGGTTGAGTTGGGTAATCAGAACACATAACCCCAGTTTCCCCTGAAAAAGCCCATCTAGGCGAAACACGTTGGGTTCTTGTCTATGGATTACGCATCAAAAATAATTAGGCATATTATTGGCACCGTATTGGCAATGTGGGATAGAGACACCATTATTTAGAAATAGATCTGATGGAGTTGATGTTCTGTAATATTTCTCATACTGTGTGTGTGAAGGATTTTTTAAAAATGGGGTTTTTGTACCCCCTTGATTTTTTAGATTTATGAAATAAAGGAGATTTTTAATATGTATTATTATTCTTTCTGAGAGAACACCAACCCGAAAATCCTGGGAGGGTTGACTTTGGGTTGAGAACTAATCAGAACACATAACCCCCTTTTCCCCTGAAAAAGCCTGTCTGGGTGAAACACGTTGGGTTTATGTCTAAGGATTATTCCTAGATTGCAAACTCCAAGGAGCAGGGCCCTCCTATCCCTCTTGTATTGAACTGTATTGTCTCCTGTTATATTGTAAAGCGCTGAGCAAACTGTTGGCGCTATATAAATCATGTATAATAATAATAATAATTATGCATCAATGTTAATTAGCCATATTATTGGCACCGTATTGGTAATGTGGGAAAGAGACATCTTTGTTTAGAAATAGATCTGATGGAGTTGATGTTCTGTAATATTTCTTATACTATGTGTGACAGATTTTTAAAAAATTGGGTTTGTGTACGCCTTGATTTTTTAGATGTATGAAATAAAGGAGATTTTTAACATGTATTAACGTTCTTTCTGAGAGAACACCAACCCGAAAATCCTCCTCATAGAGTGTTCCGCTGCTTTCTTCTATTTGAAAAGTGTTATTGGATAGTTCGACGTCTTCGGTAATTTGGAAAGGTTTGAAAAGGTAGTAAGATCATTGGTTTTTCTCATAAAACAAATGTTTCACAATAAGAAATGGAATCTACTTATGAACAAACCATCGCTATATGAAAATCCCAATATCAATTCTACAGCTAAAGACAACTAGAAGAATGTGAACATTCTGATTGGGCACAGTGATTACTTCAAGAGCCTGTATGGGCATAATGGAATAAGATCGGCAATGAAAACATTCTCTTAAATATGTATTAAATTCATCACCTAAGCAGGTTTACAGCCTAAAAAGACCTCTGATATTTTGGTAAAATAATACACATAGGAGTTGATTTACTAAAATTGGAGAGTGCAAAATCTGATGAAGCTCTGCATAGAAACCAATCAGCTTCCAGTTTTTTTTTTTTTTTTTAATTAAATAAGAAGCTGATTGACTACACCAGATTTTGTACTCTCCAGTTTTAGTAAATCAAAGTTCATATAACACAATCTCTATAGAGAAATAATAAAAACACAACTTACTTTGTTAGCATGTTTTCATCAGCTGAGAGTGAAGACTGACTACACCTGCCAGCGAGAGAGTTTGGAGGAAGTTTCCAGTGTGAGTTTCTTGATGGAGTAGCTTGTTCTGTCACTTCGAGAGGCAGCCGAGTCTGAGAAGTAGGATGTGTCTTGTAGCAATATTCAGCCAGATCTGTGTGATGACATCACTCCCAAAATTCTACGGGGAGACCTGAGCATGTAGGAGTGCCTGAAACTGCACCAGACTACTGACTTGTGTCATGGATCATATGGTGAAACACCAATGCACCCCTAGGTCGTGGAAAGTACATTATGTTTTTGTGACTTTTTAAAATAAAAGAATGCAAAGGCACAGACAAAGGTTTCCGTAGTATAGATTTCTCATTGTTGTACATGTCATAGAACCCAGAACGTAAGTATCTCCAAACTCCTGCCCGTGGGATCTACAGCAGGCTTAATGAACCTTTTCACCCCAAAGTAAACCTTCAAATAATTATCAGGTCTCAGGGAGCCACTGCTAAAATGAATTTATCAGAGGTCAGTGGGAAGAATGTCCCTTACATTGGTCATTAGTGGACAGGATGCCCCTTACATTGGTGGTCAGTGGGGAAGAATGTTCTGTACATTGATGGACTGTTGGAAGAATTTTCCTTACATAGGTGGTCAGTGGGAATAATTTCCCTTACATAGAAGGTCTGGGTGAAGAATCTCTCCCTTGCATTGGTGATCAATGGGAAAAAATGGCCCTATAATGGTAGTCAGTGAGTGAGAAAATGCATCTTACATTGGTGGTCAGTGGAAACAATGCTCCTTACATTGGCAATCAGTGGGAAGAATGCGTCTTACATTGGTGACCAGTGAGAAGAATGCCTCTTACATTGGAAGTCAGTGTAAAAATGCCCTTACAAGGGTGGTCAGTGGAAAAATGTCCTTTACATTGGAGGTCAGTGGAAAGAATGTCCCTTACATTCGAGGTCAATTGGAAGTGTCCCTTACATTGGTAATCAGTAGGAAGAACATCCCTTACATTGGTGGTCAGTAGAATAATGCCCCTTAAATTGGTGGTCAGTGGGAAGAATGCTCCTTACATTGGCGGTCAGTGGGAAGAATGCCCCTTACATTGGTGGCCAGTGGAAGAATGCTCCTTACATTGGTGGTCAATGGGAAGAATGCTCCTTACATTGGTGGCCAGTGGAAAAATGCTCCTTACATTGGTGGCCAGTGGAAGAATGCTCCTTACATTGGTGGCTAGTGGGAAGAATGCTCCTTACATTGGTGTTCAGCGGGAAGAATGCCTCTTACAATAGTGGTCAGTAAGTCAGTAGTGGTCTATCCTCCCTACACAGAAGAATGCCTTCCTTCTTTTGGTGGTCAGTGGGAAGAATGCCCACCTTGCAATGGTGGTCAGTGAGAAAAATGTTCCTTAAATTGGTGCTCATTGGGAAGAATGCTCTTTACTTTACTGGTCAGTGGGCCCCTTATGTTGTGGTCAGAATGCCCCTTATGTTGTGGTCAGTGGAAAGAATGTCCCTTATGTTGTGGTCAGTGGAAAGAATGTCCCTTACATTGGTGGTCAGTGGAAAGAGTGTCCCTTACATTGGTTGTTAGTGGCAAGACTTTCCCTAACATTGATGGTTAGGGAAGAATGCACCCTTATATTGGCATTGACTCTTTCATACAGAGGAAATGATCAGTGGTGTCACGCTACTATCCTTGCTATATGGTGTTTGGACCTGGAACCATTCAAGCATCATGAGATGGGAGGTCCATCAGTCACAGCTCCAAGAAACCCTAAATATCTCTAGAGGAACTCTAGGGTTCAGTGGAACACTGGTTAAGAATGGCTGACCTACTGCACAGGCTACACAAAATACCAAAGCTACTCAGTGGTTCAACCAGTGGCAGATTTGTTGTGCTGTGGGCCCTGGGCTCTTCTCAATTCATGGGCCCCTGCCAGTTTAATGAGGTCATGCATATGTATAGCTCCAACTATCCCTCACTTGGAGGGACTGTCCAAATCTGTGCAATTGTCGTTCTTTTTTGTCTAAAAATTGTACTGTTAGGCTACCAAAAGTGTTAGACTACACTAACCTTTCTTCCAACCTCTAAGACAGCGTGTCCCAATCTTTTCTCAGTAAGGACACCCTTTACAAATATGCAAAATCTTGAGGAGCCCCCGGCTAAAATGTAAATGTAACTCCCCATCAATGTGGGGGGATTAACTACTAGACTTCAGTTAATCTGCTGTACTGCCAGACATTTTCAAGCAAAGCCTATGTTGATCGATCGCTAGCCTGAAATCACCTATGACGACTTTCATTTCTCTATATTATTACTACAAGTATTTATAAAGTGCCAACAATTTCCACAATGCTTTACATATTGTTCAGTCATATCAGTTCCTGCCTTCAAGGAGCTTACAACCTTAGTTCCCTACCTCATGTGTGTATATGTATAGATATGCATCTGAGGTAGGGAACGTAGATTACTAGGACCCTCTAACCTACCAGCATGTCAGTGGAGTGTGGGAGGAAATTGGAGGACACCCAATGTGCAAGCACAGAGAGAACATATAAACTCCATACGGATAGTATCCTGGCTATACATGTGCAGAAAAAAAACATTTGTTTCAATTCATTATTTAAATAATTTTGCTTTGTTAAATTTGTTTTAATTCATTTTCAAAATTCGTTTAGTTTTCAAATTTAAATTCAATTTGACTGAATTTGGAAAATTCTAATTGACATTTAAATCCTAATTTATTCTATTTAAAATTCGAATTTTGGAAGATGGTTATATTCTTTTTGTTTCTATTCCATTTTATTGTTTTTTTATATTCTATTCTAATCTATTTGAATTCAGATTTATTCTATTTGAAATTTGAATTTCGGAAGACGGTATATTCTATCTTTTCTATTCTATTGTATTGTTTTTTTAATTTTCTATTCTGTTCTAATCTATTCAAAATTTAAATTTTGGAAGACAGTTATATTCTATTTTAATAAGCAACAGTAGTAACATTATTTGTCACTATACGGAATATAGTTAGGTGTGTGCGGCCACTTTGTTTGGTCCTTTTTTGGGGTCACTTGGGGGTAGGTAGGTAGCGCAGGAGGATCATCTCTATGCTATATTCTATTTTATTTTATTATTTCAGGGAACCTCACTGACAGCTGATGACTCATTGTTGTCAAGGACGCGGCAGCTGCCCGCTGTCAAGGTCCTACCTTTTCCCTGAGGTTATGTTACTCCATGTGCTGGCGTCATTTTGGATTCTGCTGTGCATGATGGGAATCCTTTTATGCCTTCAGGTCTCTGTGGTCCATCCCCCAGAGGGGTGTGGCTGATGACATATAAGCCTGTGGCCCGCACATGCTCTTTGCACTTGTGTCTTGTGTCTTTGTGTTGCTATTACTCTGTTCTGACTCTCGTGACTCTCCTGGTATCTGATTCGGATTGTGACTTGACTATTCTTTGTATTTCTCCCTTGATCTGACCCTCTGTTGCTGAACCCGGCTTGTGACATGTGATTCTCGTCTGCTGTCCTGTACTGTTTTGTCCTGTTGGTGTTGACCCGGCTTGTCTGACTACTCTTTTGTCTCTTCCACCAGCTACACGCCATTGGCGGCGGCCATTACCGCAGCTGAGGTGTCTCGGGGGCCGCGACCTGGTTCCTGACTGCGTCAAGTCCATCCCCCCACCATCAGGGGCCCTGGTGAAGGGCAGCCTGGGACTTAGACTCCGTGCCCTGAGGGACTTCGGTCTGTGGGTGGTGGTTGTCATCAGCCAGTGCGTTACATTGTTAGGCCTGCCTGTCCATTCCTCAGCTCCTGCCCTGACATTACACAAGTGCCATGAACCCTGACGGTGCAGGCACGCCTTCGCTCCCAATGCTAGTCGCCAGATCCTCTCGATCAACAGGATCACCTGTTGGATCAATTCGCTCAGGCGTTGCAAACTCTGCTTGCACGCACTGCACACACCTTGATCCTGGTGCTATTAGGCCGGTAGTCACTCCGGTGGTCTCTCCCGCAGCTTCTCCGCCTATTGCGTCCACCACCTCGACGGCTGCATCAGCGGCGCCCAGGTAGGTATGACTGGTTCTGCCCCTCTTCCACAGCGCTTTGGGGGTGAGCCTAGTCAGTGTCGTGGGTTCCTCAACCAGGTGGGTATTTATTTTGAATTAATACCCCACGCCTTTCCGTCTGAGAGGTCAAAGGTTGGGTTCCTAATTTCACTACTCTCAGACAAGGCCTTGGCCTGGGCAAATCCCTTATGGGAGAGGAACGACCCGGTGATTCAAGATTTTTCCGGTTTTGTCGATGCTTCCGTAGGGTATTCGACGTACCGGCTCGTTCCGCCTCGGCGGCCAAACTGCTCATGACCATGCATCAGGGTTCACGGACCATGGCCGAGTACGCTATAGAGTTTTGTACCCTGGCGGCAGAGTTCGGTTGGAACAATGAGGCTCTGGTGGCTGCGTTTTCCCCATGGTCTTTTCTGACACATTGAAGGACGAGATTGCAGCTAAGGAACTGCCTGTGGTGTTGGAGGAGCTCATCTTTTTCCTGATCCTGATTGACACCAGGCTCAGGGAGAGGCCTTCACTCAGGGAACGCCTGCGGAGGCCTTCCAATCGACTGGCACCTGCGTTTTCTGTCCCCCCACCCGTTCCTCCCTCTCCTCCCACGCCTCCTGGGGATAGCTTGTCTGGTGGGGAACCCATGCAGCTGGGGTTTGCTCGCCTTTCCGAGGGGGAGCGGGCCGCTCGGCGTCGGGAGGGTCGCTGCCTGTACTGTGGCCTCGTGGGGCACTTTCGGCAGTCTTGTCCGGTCCGTCCGGGAAACGCTCGCACCTGAGATCATGTCGGGGACAGATCTTGGGTGGAGTTTCCTCGTCCCCGGCGTTCCGCAAGGATAAGCCACTGATCACCGTGGTCCTTTCTTGGACGGAGGGCTCGGTGACGGCCCAGGCGTTGGTAGACTCTGGGGCTGGTGGGTTGTTCTTGGACAGCTCGTTTGCTGCACAGCACTCCATTCCCCTGCAGGCTCGCGCTACCCCATTGGTTCTCGAAGCCATAGATGGCAGGCCCCTGCAGCCGCCGCAGGTTACCCACGAGACTCTGCCGATAGAGGTAGCCATTGGGGCTGTTCACAGGGAGTTGGCCTGTTTTCAGGTGATTTCTTCCCCACACTATTCGGTGGTTTTGGGGTATCCCTGGCTCCAGAGGCACAATCCAACCTTCAATTGGCAAACAGCCGAGATTCTCTCATGGTCTCCACAGTGTGGGGCCGGGTGCATCCGGGGGCCGGTTAAGGTATTGTGTGCCTCCTCGGACTCTGCGTTGCCCACCGACTATGGGGAGTACCGGGACGTGTTTGATAAGGTACGCGCTGGTACCTTACCGCCGCATCGTCCTTACGACTGCGCCATATCCTTGCAACCCGGGGCCACTCCTCCGCGTGGCAGGGTGTACCCTCTCTCGGTTGCGGAGAATAAGGCCATGGAGGAGTACGTTGTGGATGCGCTTTCCCGGGGGCACATTCGTAAGTCTACTTCTCCAGCAGGAGCAGGTTTTTTTTTCGTAAAGAAGAAAGGTGGGGAGTTGAGGCCCTGCATCGATTATAGGGGTCTCAATCGGATTACCATTAAAAATGCATATCCGATGCCTTTGATTTCTGAGTTGTTCGACCACCTTAAGGGAGCAACAGTCTTTACCCAAACTCGACCTTAGGGCGGCGTACAACCTCGTACGGATCAGACAGGGGGATGAGTGGAAGACCGCGTTTAACACCAGAACCGGGCACTACGAATACCTGGTGATGCCCTTCGGATTGTGTAATGCCCCCGCGGTTTTTCAGGAATTCATAAACGATGTCCTTCGTGATTTGTTGCAGCAGTGCGTAGTGGTTTACCTGGATGACATCTTGGTTTACTCTACCTCCATGGAGTCTCATGTCCAGGATGTCAAGCAGGTGCTGCAACGATTGCGTGAGAACGGACTCTTTTGTAAACTCGAGAAGTGCGAGTTCCATCGATCCCAAGTTGCCTTTTTGGGCTACATAATTTCCGCGGAGGGATTTTCCATGGACCCTGAGAAGGTTGCTGCGGTTCTGCAGTGGCCTCGTCCCAATGG